CTAATATATATATATATATATATATATATATATATATATATAAAATTTATTTGTTTATTCGTGTCGGATTGACCCAAAAATGTTAACAATATCTCAAGTTAACTCAATACTTTTCTACAATTTTTTTTTTAAACTACATAATCAAAATCTAATATTTCTTTATCCAAATTTACAATATAAATATATTAAACAGTTGCTGTAGAACAATTAGTTGGGAAAATTCAAATACGACAAAAAACATTGCAAAATTTGTTCCCTTTGTCAAATCTTTCCGTTTTTGAGATTTCATCAGATGAATACTTTTGTTTTTGCCACAGAAAAACATTTTTCGTGCATGACTAAGTATATTTTACAATAAAATCAAGCTTACATTGAAGAAACGTTTGAAAAAGATGAACAGCAACTGCAGTATCATTAGAAACAGTAACGGTAATAGTAGCAAACTATTTATACCTCACTATATTTGAGATGATCTTCAGGAAATGTAATGAAATAGCATTAAACTAGCACAAAGCTCCCAGACTACTGATACTGTGGCATTACAGTATCTCATAAATAGACTTCCCTACTCTTTACTAAGGCCAAAAATACGTAAAATATTGAATGGTTAATTAATAAAAAAGTCAATAACCTCGTATTGCTATGAAAGGGCTGCCACGTTATTCAACAATTTCCAGTATTTTCCTTCCACTAGAAAAGTGCTGAAGAGAATCGTATAACAAACTACAGAAATCTGGCGAAGGAGAATTGTGCAAATTATTTTAATATTTCTGGTAAACGTATGAAATTTCACAGAAAATTTAGAAGTATTAGCATTGAACATGACATAACTCTTAAAATTAGATGAGTTAAAAATTTATGGAAAGAGAAAACTTACAGATCATCGGTTTCAGCCACAGTAAGCGGTATATTTGTTGCAACCGGTTCGGGAACAAATGATGATTGAACCACGAGATTCGGATCAGGAAGTTCCTGAAAACGCTATTTATTATTTTACCACCTTCAGATAAACATAAAAGTGAACTCTAACAAAGCGAATTATATCTCAATTCACTAGCAACGGGTAAATGTCATCTTGGCATGCGATGTCAGAGAAAGGATATGATTACAAGGATGGGCAAAAATCGCACTTCTAGATAAAGAATGACAAATTTTCAGCAAAGTTATCTGATTCAAGCGAGAAAATCTGGAATAGTCACGGCTGAAGTCCTTTAATCTAAAATCGAAAAGAAAGCGGTGAGCACTAAGCATATTTAATTAGCAAACCAGAGGAACAAATTAGTTTTACTTATATAAGATTAACACGCTTCGAAGCAATAAACTCTGTATGCGAAGAAATTTGAATTAACAGAAACCGATAGTGGTTGCAGATGGGAGGTGGTAGCGGATGGTGCTCGGTAGAACTGAAGTGTATGAGCTGGTGCCACTCCTCCAACGTTAAGGACGGGTGCCGAAGCTGTAGTTTGCAGTGATATTGAATCTTCGTGATCTGGTATTTTTCCCTGAAGAAAAAAAGATATACACAAGAGAAGTTATGCTTAATACAAACTAAACGATACAAAAACTAATAATTGTCATTTTCGACCAACATGTCACGGTTGCTGACTTCACGGATTCAAACTGTGATGCACATAAAAGTATATTTTCAGATGTTGCTAACAGGCCAAGTGTCTTTTAACTCTCAGGTTAATTATCTGAACAATTTCAAATAGTCCCCGTTTCAAATATTTTCCAGCAACGCATGAGTAGCCATGTTCGGTGTGCAGATAAGCTATCAGTGAACGAAATACTTAGCTGAATGAATGGACATTGATGACCATAAACAAGTTAAAAATAAAACCTTAGTTTCAATGATAGTTGCATTATTGATCACAGGGGAGGTACTAGCTGAAGATGGAGTACCGTGCACTGGAGTTGCGGATGGAGGGGCAATCGATGTAACAACGATTGTACTGGATTCTTTCCCCGCATTCGATATATCAATCGCTTGCGATATTGCTGAAAATACCAAGATGAATGTTGCTGGTTCTCTGATTTCTTTAAAAAACTGCAACACTGGCATTCACTTGTTTGAAGTTCACCAAAACACGCTTTATAATACGTTCAAAACGGAATTTTCCACTTAAACCTAATTTCAATCTTATAATTTCTAACACGAATGTTAGTATGGAAGAAAATCGGACTCAAAATTCAAAAAATTTTTAACCATAGTGACAAAGCTGATTTGTATCTGAATATGATGACGTAATAAAGAAAGAGATAATAAAACCAGAACCTGCGCTACTCGTATCAGTTGCTGGAATCAAATGTGGCTCAGTTGTCATATGATTCATTGTATCTGTTTGACCATGCGGAATGAAAGTCCGACATCCGGTTGGATTTTCCCCAACATTGATTGCTGTAAAAAGGTATAACTGTTCAAGTCAAGTTACCACATCAAGTAGTCTTTTTAAGCTTCAAATTCCCATTGCAATACGTCGTGAAATGTTCGGAAATTTATTCGCATTTTCTTCTATAGCGAAAGGTAGAATAATTGGTTGAGTGGCTGCCAGTGGAGACGAAAACAGTACTTCAAGTTGAAAGTGAATGCCTTCGACTTACATCCACAACTTTAAGTGTTGACTTACAGCGAACTCTACCTGATACTATAGGTAACACCGGAAATATTCATCACTAAGGGTATATGTGAAAATAGCCGAGCAAGGGTAGAACTAAATACACCAGTCACTATGGACAGAACTAAAAGACCTCATAATTAATTTCCAAAAGTAAAACGTGAAATGTTGGAATGAAGCTTAGCACAGCTTCCTCATACCTCATCAAAGGTCTCAAGCGGAACTTTGCAATATTTATTCCTCGAACCTTCGCTTAATTGTTTTCAAACGATAAAAATGAAAATTACATCTGTCAAAAAATCCTGTCCCTATACCACTTTCCCCATACTTCTACAACACTAGTTTAAGGATGGTTTTATCACGACAATCTAAGAAAAAGTGCAGAAATAATAAAGTTTAAATTAAATGGATGTTACAATAACTTACGTAGCGAATGTTTCTCTGATTTGTCTGTAAAATCAATGATTGCACCAGTTTCCGATGTTTTATCCTTATAATCCCAACATTTCCAACGTCCACGAGTAAAAGTCCCTGGAACAGGGACAACCTGCAAACATATTAAATTTGAGTCGAAACCTAATTTATTAATAGTACCAAGTGCATCATGCAAAATGGTACCAAAGTACCAATAGTAATAATACCAAGCATATTGTGTATCTATCTGTCATAGAGGTGAGGAGATTCCGGTTGTATATATTGAATATTCTAGAAATATTCGAACATTTCTCGTACATTAAATTTACTGTCGTAGTGCCCAATAATTTGATAACTTAACCTAACTTTGTTCTCCGAAGCAACAAATATAATTTAGCTTGACAGAAGTAATATCGTACTGTTGCTTTCGCAAAGTTAGATGATCTCATTCGAAATCTGAAAAGAAATAACCTGAAACTGTCGTTCTTTTGGTTTTGCAGCTGTCATGTCACTTGCTACTTGTTCGTCGTTATCGGTTGTGGTTACACCCATCGCGGTATCATACGAGTCGTTCTATCAATGTATTGTTTATTCATTGACTGAAATAATATAATTTAAGAAGCCTGAATGAAACTTAAAAAGTGAACTGAAGCAAATTTAAGTTAAAACTGGAATTCCGGCAACAAACTCAACTTCAGGAACTAAGCTGTAGTTGTCTCCCTGAAATAACCCGTGACAGACTTCCCAAACTACGGGAAACTCTCCGTAAAATCATGCCCACCTCAACAAAATCTCCACATAAAACCATAGCTAAATTACTATAGCAAACCAAATCACGAATTGCACAGCGAAACATCAGGACTGAGCTGCAAACCTACCGTGAGTCTGATATGGTTGCAAAGTGTTTGATATATCGCTAAGACTCGGATTATTCAAAGGCGGGGATTTGAGCGGGGATAAAATGGTAGAGATTATGAGATAGTATGGAGAATATTGCAAATTAATTGAAGTGGAACTGAAAGTAGTGATACTGTTACGCTTTGGTTACAGTAATAGGAAAACTATTTGGTAGATTTTTGAGGGATAATGAAAGCATTAGAGAATGGACTCTTTATTTGAAGTAGATGCTGGCAAAACTTCGGTAGTATGATGCTTCTTAGCTGAAATAAGAATTGAAAGAACTATCCAATGGAAATGCTTTTTGATTTGTTCATTAAAATTTGGAAATGAAAATATGAAATATTAGTGACAGATTAAGATCTTTGTGATTGAATTGATAAGGAGTGAGAAAGTTTCCAAATGGTCGCATGTAGCTGTAATAACAGAGTTGGTAATAAAGCAAAAAAGAATAATTTTTAAGTTGAGTTTTGAATCCAAGAACTTCTAAGTTATTTGAAAGTATCTCTTACATTTTTTTTTTCATTTCTTTAAGCGTCACTTAAAATTTTATCTAGCTCAAAGATGGATACATTTTCTGAATGTGATACGTATAGATACGTATAGCTTATCATTTCGCATTCTTTTCTATGGCTGTTTAATTGCATCGGTAAAATGTGTTTGTGACTTATTGAGACAGTATCCTTTTGTCCATCTTCCCAAATACTGAATTACAATTATTATCATGATTGCTGGTAATATCATAATATTAATCATTGTAATTTCCAGGTTAATGAGAGAAGACAGTCGATAAAATCGTTAAACTGAAATTTTATTATAAAGACGATGAAAAAACGGCAATGTCAGCAACGAAATGGTGCAGTTGGTGACATTGGCGGGACATTGGATGATGCTAAAAAGCGGCAAGGAGATGAACGTATAGTGTTGGAATCTGTATATGGTGAAGACTTCCTTGATGCTGCCCAAAATGCTTGGAGGGTTTGTTGAATCGATTGATTAGATTGGATGATCATTTAACTAATTATTTCACATATATGATTGGATATAAAAGCGCTTGCATCATATTTATTTGTTTGTTTACTTGAAAAGTTTGTTGAGTCAGATTGTTGTATTAAAATACTGATTATCTTTCTTGATAATGCAGTGGTGTCATTTTTTTTTAAAATGTTTGTCAGGTTGTATCTCTTCATTTAACATTATTTGGCTTTAGCATAATATACGAATCATAGATAACTCCAATTATACAATTTTATAAATATATGAGTATGTTTGCATGCTCATTTACTGCCGTATTTTTAGTTAATCGCTAATTAAAATGATTATAAATCGGAAGAAAACTGCTATAATTGCTTGCCTATTTGTGTATTAAACACTACTAAAGTAGTCATTGAATAGCTACACTTGAACTCACCGAAGATTTTTTGAACTCACCTGTCATCACATTCTTTATATGTAAACTTTTTCCGAAGAATTTATTATAAAAATTGGATTTTTTTTTTGCAGATATGGCAACCACTTGACGTTATTTTGCGCCTAAAACCTGTTGGATCATCTAGCGGCAAAATCTACGTCTCGTTGGATCTTCACGTAAAATGTCCAAAAACGTATCCGTTGTCCGGGTATGTTGGAATATTTCGCCTTTTTATACTTCATGTTTATTCTTCCTTTAGTTGATAGGCGCTCTATTATTGTTGTTGTTGTTGTTGTGATATTTAAAGCAGCATCAATATCCCAACCCTGGATAATTTTTATCTCATATTTTGTTTTTAAATGATTTTATCGTCCACATAAAAACCTCACAAAATTTACTGAAAGATTTATTTATCCTTCGAACAATTTTTCGATATTATTTTTAGGACACCACTCCTTGCGTTAGAAAACGTAAAAGGTATTTCATTGAAGGATGTCGACAAACTTAAGCAGATATTAGATAATAAAGCAGCATCATTGAAAGGAAATGTGAGTAATTGTTATGGACTTCATTTTGTTCATTCATCATTTTTTTCTATTCTGTAATATATAAATTCAGGTGAATGATTGGGAAGCTTGTGATCAGTGCAAATTTTCAGGAAGTTATTCTAGAACTGTGTCAGGTAGTTCAAGAATTTCTATATGAACGAAATAAACCTCCGGAAGGATCTTTTTTCGATGGCATGTTACAGCAGCATGCGGCAGTGGAACATGAGCGTAGGGTACCGACATTTTCTTGCCCACTGTGTACATGTAGTTTATTGCAAGTTATCGTGCTATGGTTATTTAAAGCAGCTTTCCCTTAATTTTTAATGGGTTTCTGAATCTTCTGGATTTCATATTTTTTATTAATATTTCAGAGACAAAGAGTAAAGTCAGAACAACGTGATCGCGAGGATGTTGTGGCATTTCAAAAAATGCATGAAGAGAAACTGATGTGGCGAAAAGCGGAAGAAGGTGAACCCACGACACCAGTTGATGATAGTTCATGCGAAACCTTCTCTTGTATCGACGGTGTCCAAAGACGGTTGACCAAAAGTACGAACAATTTCAGGAGGCGGCCAGATATTAGTCCGTTCTGTCAAGAATGGTCAGCTGTAGATTGTACTACGGTAATTCAGGAAATACTTCTAACAATAGAGGTTGAGCACGAGATTAAGACTTAGTCAAAATTCGGTCTTTTGAAAAATGGTCTTTGTATACAGTGTATCAATAGAGCATGAATTAGTTTAATTTAAGGGTGTAAAAAATTTTGAAAGACTGTGACTGCGAAATCAGTGCAATATTTTATGAAAAAAAAAACCCTCGCTGGCTGTAAAACATTCATGTGGTATGTCCAATAATATGGATAGCTTTTACGAGTGCATTGTGATATCATTAAATTAATCAATAATAGTTCTAGTCATTTTCTGTTTTTCTTCAGCCTCTGCTATTATTTGTGATTATATTTTGGTATTATTATTTGTTTACTTCTAGGGTCATGAACTTTTTATTATGGAATGGTCATTTGCGGCGGTAGCTAAGACGCCGTTGTCATCGCTTAAACCTTTTATTACTCACTTCAAACAACTGGAAAGGAAATTACAAGAAATTTCAAGAATTTCTGTTACTGAACCGACATTATGCAATTATGAAATGCTTTGTGTGCGGAAGAAAAAATTGACGATTTCGGAAATTGATGTTTGGCAAGTTTTATTTCATTTTTTGACTTTTCTGTTTCCAGGAATATTTGGTATGGATAGCATTGAACGATGTTTATCAACATGGTGGTTTGTTTCTCAAGATAATAAAACAAATGGAGAATAATTTATTTCCATTTTATTGAAAAAAAATTCTATATTTATCGACAAAGCTGTTGGCTATCTTTGAGTTAATTGTAGTGTTGTAATTGGCCAAAATATCGATGGAAATGACCGAAATTTATCATCTCAATTTGATATTTTCGAAACCGATAAAGTAAGTAATCTATATGTAGAGATCATCATGCTACAGTAAAATTCAGTGCTTAATTTTTCTTTTCACAACAAGTATCTTTGTTTGAATTACAAAAACTTTCAGTCAGATTGATAAGTTTTCACTGTCCATGATTTTAGATTTTTTAGAATTCAGCTTCAGAAATTACGCAGATTGTTCATTTTCGTATTGCTGGAAGCCTTTTAAATTTGCAGACACTCTTAGTTCGCCTTGCTGTCCAACTTTTAGATGGTTTGCGATTTCTACACGAGAAAAACTTGGGACATTTTGACCTTGATACGACGTGTGTATGGATCACTGGCAAACGGAACTTCCGTTTGTCTGATTATTACTTGAAGTACTTTTTTTGATCATTTTTCCGCTGAGTACGGCCATGGAACAATTTCAGAAAATGTGAAGCAACCTGAATAGATCATGCTGGTCGATGAAATCCATGTATTTTGAACTATGGAATTTTAACACGTGATTATGAATAACACTATGAACTCATTTGGAAAACTTTATTTATACTCGTTCTTGCAATTTTAGGACACCGCTTTTGGATCTATGTAGGATTATAAAGAAATGTGTCGAAATAGTCGGTGAAAATATCTCCTTTGATTCAATGAATAAATTGCCAAATCATGATCTGGTTTCACTGGGCAACATTTTCGACAAATTCAGGATGCTTTCAACGGTTGCGAACAGTCCAGATTTTTCTGGAAATCTCGAAAGCTTCGTAAAAGCTTGCATAAACACGAAAAACCTGAAAACTTTAATGGAACATCCCTTCTTACATCAAGGTTTCCATCAATACCACAAGCTATACATATATATATATATATATATATATATATATATATATATATATATATATATATATATATATATATATATATA